ATAACGAATTTACGAATTAATTTTATTAGATTGGAATCCACTATAGTTAACTGAAATAGTTATGATGAAAAAGCCAGAATAATGTTAACCACTTCAATAATTTAAAGAGTGTTCAGTAAATAAGGAAAGAGGTTTTTATTGTTTATAACAATGGACATGTTTTCTTACTTACTGAACACCCTGTAAAACTAGACAGTATTTTTCAACACATAAGATCCACAGAACTAATTACTAGAGTAGCAAATAAAAAACACTATTTTAAGATAGATACAAATGATATGAATTAGCTATATAATTGATCGTACTAATAAAATATCATATTTAGTACTCCACAAACTATCTTTTGCATTCCTAATAGACGAAAGGACCTATCTTAGATTTTGACAAAACTTTTTAAAAATAAATAGGAGTTATAAAATTGTATAAAGGTTTACAAAATTATTACAATGACAAAACGTTAATGAAATTTTAATCACGTCATAGTTGGCAGTACATGAGCCCTTGCAACACTTGTTGATTTTTAAATATTTTAATTACCAACGAAATAGATACAATCTTTACTTTTAATTGACATTTTCTATAAATAATTAAAAACCGAAAAATATGATTTATATACAGACGAATTTATAATGGAATTCTTAGATATAATATATTATCTTAAATCAATATATTATATTGATATAAGACAACAATACTTCATGAACTATTTATATAAGTTAGGCTAAACATAAAATATTTAAATTATTTGATAGCTAAAAAAAATATTGAATATAGAAATTATTTTTCTATGTGGAATCATTCATTTTTTTTTTATAAATTAATACAAAGACTATCAAATAATTAAAAGAAATATAATAATTGCATTGTTCATACGAGTAGACAATATGAATGTATTAAAGCATTTATGGGTTATTGTATTATTTAAAATATTTACAGTTATATCTATGTTGTCGTTTCGAAGTCGTAGAGTTCATCTTCGGGGTGATAATTACAGTTCAGAGGTTGTAACTATATGTAAATATTCTAAATAAGAATAGATAATAGTTGTATAATTCTTACAAACGATGTTACAGTTGATATTCAAAATAAAATAGCATATAGGGGGACATTATTTTTAATATTAGATTGTTCAATGAATTCAAATGATATGTATACCTTATATCCTCCACATTTATGACAGGCAATCACGTCTCCGTTAGGCTTGTATGTTTTGTCACTATCAAAACTGCTATAATAAGTCATATTGGATCGACATTTGAACGAGAAAAGAAATTTTAACACTAGTCTAAATAATGATTAAAACATATTTGAATAATCACACGTGCTAGACTAGGAGCCTGCGAATTTTGAAAGAGATCACGCGACGACCACCAAACACGTTTGACGTCAGATTGCCAACTGAAAACAATCAGTGAGACGCGACCCGCCAACAGTCCACGCCGGCCCCAACACCTCAGCTGTGTTGTAGGTTCGGGATTTTTCATTAATTTTCCCTAGTGATAAAATAATAAAATTAACCCACTTGAGTGTCGCTCAGCTTTACGACTTTATCTAAGTGTTCAAGGAATATTTTTTCATTATATATAATTAGTGAGTTTCCGCCGTTGTGTCCATAAACTGTATGCAACGTTGTACAATTAGATAACCAAAATGCTGTGGTTAAAATAAAATAATGAAAAATGAGTTCAATGAAACAAATAGTTTACGCAAAATCATAAAGTCATAAAAATAAACAATTTTTAAACCCACAATATATTAAACGTTTAAAAGTATACACTTTTAAAAATTGGATTGGAGTGATACTAATAAAGCTATTTCAATCCATAATTAAGAAAAAATTATACATATATATATATCAATAAAACAGTTTAATTAAGACAAAAATTACAAGATTCAGTGCATAATAACTATAAATTTAAGTTTCTTGAAACACATTTTAGAGACGTTCAACAATATAACTATTAATGTTATCTTCAGATGAACAAAAAAAAGCGATGATATCATATATATTTAGATTTTAGTATTCGAAAATCTCAGAAATACAAACAAAATTATTTTTTACGTGCATATAAATAATATCAACTTCACACTAATGACAGAAAAATAAAAGATAGAATTATCAAAATGTTATAACTGTTACTTAGATACCTATCTATGAATAAATTATACGTCCAGGATCACATTAACCTAAATGCAAATAAAATATTTACTTCAAATGATAAAATTTTAAATACAATTTTAAAGAGTATCTCAACATTAAATATTGTTTTGAAATTGCAATATTTTAACAAATAAGGTAATGGATTATTAAAGTATCCTTTTATATAATAATATAATCTTAAAATATAGATTATGAAAATTAATCTAATTAGTAAACCATAATAAGATTAATATTATCAGTCTTATAATGGTTAACTGATAAATAGATTAATTTAATCAGCTTAAGAACTAAAGTATGAGTATATACTACATAAAATGAAATCGTGTATATAAAGAGCATGTCCAATATTTAATAGGCGCCATCTACACGTATTTAAGAAATTGAAAATATATTTTTCTGTATAGACATACGATTTATACGTATAAATAACTAAGTTATAATTAATAATTTTGGAATGCAAAATCTTGTTTCTTCAAAAATAGCTGATACAATAGTGAGTCAAATAAAAAATATTATTATAACTGCTGCTATTGATATTGAAATTGCTAAAAAAATGTTTATTAAAATATTGTTTTTAATTTTAACTGACTAGATTATTTATTTTATTTTAAATTAAAAATTAATGTAAATTTTTTTTAAGCTTTAGACCCTTAAACTATTTATAAAACTTCTCAAAAGGTTAACATTTTTAGTGGAGAATAGCAAATGCCTTTCTCTTTTCTTTATGCATTTTTATTTTGATCTTCTTCATTTAAATTAATCAAAATTACATCAATAATATTTTAAAATATCTATATAAATAACTTTAATTTTTCAAATAAAACTAACTTAATAGATCTGGGTCATTTACTATAATTGGAACTATATCCATACATCGTTCATCCACAGAACTAGTTCTAAATCTACACTTTTGTTAGTGGATGTGAACTAAAAAATAGGCTTCAAAAATAGTCAATACTATTTTTTTTCTTTCATGAATCGACTACATATTAGAAAATCTTCATTATTGTAAAGTTTACCAGCAAAAAAAAAGATTTTTGTTTAAACCTGGTTCAGAATTAAATAACATTTTTTAAAGCACATTAAAAATCAGATGCTCCCTAAATCTTCAAATTTATTCACATTGTAGTTCTTCACATTTTAAATCCATCATTATTTAAGACAGAATCTTGATGAATATGACAATTAAATATTTTAAAAAAACTTTTTATTTAAGTACCTGTGCTCTAAGCTTTAACTAAGTATAATCTAAAAAAAATAACTCCATCACAAAATCAATTTTTATAATAGTATTTCTATAAGTTATCAAAATAAATAAAAAAAATTTTAATTAAGTTGAGAAAAATAGGGTAGAATAACTAAAAAAATTGTCATAACAATAAAAAACATAATATCATGAAATGTTTATGTCATGTAAAAATATCTAATTTGATTGAAATTACTTACTATTGATTAATTACCTGAACTGCTGATGATTTCAAATTAAAATTCATCAACAATGTTTTAACAGTTTTAATGAGTTGAATGTATTAATAAAAACTCAGAATGACAATTATTACCTGTATTCTAATTTGGAAAGGTATAAATTGACAATTATCATAATCTATTAAAGGCAATGCCTTGTCGTTGAAGCCAAATTCTTCAGTGAAACAAAAGACGCACAGTTCATGAGTTCCAGGATATTTTCAAAATATTGTTTCCTTGGGCATCCTCTTGGTTTCTTCCCAGTTATTTCTCCTTTGAATATGTTGATTATAAAGTCATTGTGTTGGATTATGTGTCCGATAAACTTTATTTATCTTGATTCAATCACCTTCTTCAACTGTCTTTCTTCTCATACTTCTTCTAGCCTTGCTCATTTCTTTTCTTGTCTATCCATTTTGTATTTTTCATTTTTCTCCATATCCATAACTCTAATGCATCTGTCTATCTTGTCAATTGTCCATGTTTCACTGCCATATGAAAGCATACTCCAGACAAATGTTTTAACAAATCTTTTACGTGTGCCAATGCTCATTTATTGATTAGTGAGAAGCTAATTCTTTTTTAGGAATACTTGCTTTGCAAATGCTATTCGTCTTCTGATGTCTGGAATTGATTTGTTATTGGAAGAAACTATGATACTTTCAAGGTAGCAGAATTCTTGGGTTGTAATCGTGTATTGTATATTTGTATATTAAGGTTAAGATCTGAGTACATTTTACTTATAAGCATTATTTTGGTTTTCATGGAATTTATTTTCACTTTAAATTTATCAAGTGTATTTGATAGAATTTTTATCATATTAATCAAGTCATGTTCAGACTTTGCAAAAATAACAATGTCATCCATAAAATGAATCCAGTGTATATGTTGACCAGTTGGTCTTAGTTTTCATTATGTCTATGCTCATTTCAATAAAAATATTGAATAGATAGGTCGACAAGGAGCATCTTTGTCTCACTACTTTCGTTATTCTTGCTTCTTTTACTGATCATATTGACAATAAAATAAATATATTTTAAAGTACAGTCATTATCAGTGATGCATTAGCCCATGGTGCCAAAGTATAATTTCATCTTTTTAACAGAACCGCTAATAATCAAAATAAAGAGACGGAAACATTTATCCTAATAAATTTTTTATTTAAAAATGTTATTTCAAAATTAATTAATATTTTATTCTGTTCTATAAAATGAAACAAAATAATTTTTCCTGTATTCAATTTTTAAAAATATAGTATAAATATCTTTCAAAGTGAAATATTGATAAGAATAACTACTGATAAAATCGCTTTATACAATAATAATAAACCATTACAGCTCTAAACACAGTATTAAATAGAATAATATAAACTCACCTTAAATTTAGATTGTAATTGTGTTATAATTTGATCCATTTTAACACATTTCACACATATTGCATTAATTGAAGTTTTACAAAATAAGATAGTAATCAGGCAAGAATTTTATCATAAAATAGAAAAAGCATCGCAATAAATTAAAATGAAGAATTTGTATTTATTATTCACTTAATAAAATGTCACTAATTATTTTTCATCTTTGATTATTACAAAAATTAATATTATGTTTACGTGGTAAAAGATTAAGCATTTTTAACACGAATAATATTTAAAAAAAAGGAATATAAAATAATAAAAATAAATAAAAAACATAACATCCACCATAATAATAATATTACAAAATTACATTTAAATGTTAGAAAATTCAAACCAAAATAAAATCAACAACACTATTATCACAACGAAACACTTCACAAAAATGATAACCATAGATATTCTAAACAAGTTTCTATTATCTATGGCAATATCATGTAATTAAAAGACATTGATAAGCATGTATGACATAATAGAAATACTAAATTATGGTATAGAATAACCTGTATGTACCATCGAAGCCAAAAAGCAAATAAAAAATTTATTATCAAGAATGTGATTACCATATATTGTTGTCAACACTATATTAACACATTTACTAATATACAGTTTTTCATTAATAAACCTATAGAGTGACTTATTAAGAGTATTTTTAATAAATCACATTGGTCAACAAATTAAACATTTTTCTGTCCATTTTTTGCGTACTGTCAACAGTAAATAACAAAATAAGATAGTGTTTACTTTCGTCTTTTCCATAATATGGACTACATTTAATACCATAGTAAAATCATAAAAAAAATTAATATTAAAAAAACTCCAAAATGCTATAAAACAACGACTGTATTCAGTAAATGAATTTTATAAAATAAAAGGATGTGATATCAAAATTTTTCTTTAAAACTCATCTATAATATTGCTATGTTCAAATCTTAAAAGAATTATTTTTTGTAAATGAGTAAAATAACATAGAACATTTCAAATATAGTCTTATAGTGTAGAAATTGATTTTAAAAAATGTCTAATATGTTATGTAGATCATAAGTTGTAAGGGTTGTCAATTAGATCTGTTTCATTCTATATAATACATAAGAACGATAGGAACATATACCTTAGAAATATCATTTACGTGTTGGGCTAGCAGAGGCAAGCCAAAGACTAAACCAGAGCACAATGGACATCGTGCCTTATTATAATGGGAAAAGGTTATATGATTAACAGTTAGAAATTAATTTAACAATTATTAAAATTTATAATTAAAGTAAGTCAACAATGGAGCCATTATTTTGTGTGAAGCAACTAATAGAAAAGTTTAGGGAAAAGAAGAAAAAGCTGTGTGTGGTATTTAAAGATTTGGAGAAAGCGTATGATAGAGTGCCAAAAGAGGTTCTAAAGTGGGCATTAATGAGAAAAAGAGACCCGAAAAGGTACATTAATATAATAGAAGATATATATGATGGCACTTGTACCCGAGTAAAAAGCGTAGGAGGAGTATCAAAAGGTTTTAGGGTAAGAGTTGGAGTACATCAGGGTTCTGCTTTAAACCCTTACTTATTCTCTATGGTGATGAATGAAATTATTAGAGAAATACAAGGGTTTAAGAATAAGTTGAAGTACGACAGATTATATTCAGTACGAGTTTGATAAAGGAAATACAAGGTAGGTGAAATAAGGAGACCAGTGACAATAGGCGAGGACGTGATTGGAGAGGTGAAAAGTTTTAAGTATTTAGGATCAGTTGTTCAAAAAAGTGGTGGTATTGACGAGGATGTAAGACATATGATTAAGTGCGGGTGGTTGAAGTGGAGAGAAGCGTCTGGTGTCTTATGCGATAAAAGAATTCTTATGAAGATGAAAGGTAAATTCTACAAGACTGCAGTGAGACCAACTATGATGTATAGTTCAGAGTGTTTGTGGTTGATAGGAAAGTAGAGCAGAATTATTATTATTAAATGTGATTACACTTAATGTATTAAATAATCATTTTGTATAATATAATAGAATGAAGGACAGCCTTACTATTGAAAGCAAACCAAAAATGTAAAGAACTCAAATTTTAATTTCATATACTAGATTTTGTTCAAATAATGTATGAAATTTTTTATAATAATTATTTATTATAGAATATAATATGAAATTTATTTCGGTCAAAGCAATTTTAGCGATTTAAGTATATTTACATCTTTATAATCAACAAAATATATTCAGAATAATTTAAAGCAGTTTTATATATATATTTTTTTTATACGCTTTTATTAACTCATTAAGGTCCATAGCGGCATCCCCCAAAGGAGGAAGTTTTTTAACCATTTGTTATGTTATGAAGAGAGAGGAATCGGAAGCTTTATGAACGGTTATAGAAAATAATGTTGAAGGTAGAAAAGATAAAGGTAGATAGAGGATGTTATTTTATGCGATATAAGGACGACTGATGCGAGCGTAGATGTTGTGTAAAGATTGTGTCAAGTGGAAGATTAGGATAAGGATGACCTACCACAAATAGTTGGGATTAAGGCGAAGAAAAAGAAGAAGATTATTATAAAGTAAAACATAATAATTGAAATAATTAAATGATTTGACCATTTATTTGTAGATTTTAGTAGACCATTTGTAGATTTTAAATTAGATAAGATAACACATTTTGTATTTGAGTTATAATTTTTTACCAATAATTTTTTAATTCAATAAATCTTATGTTACTGTAAAACCAAATTCAAGGTTTTAATATTGTAATACTAATTTATCGTTCTTTTCAACTCATGTATAGAAACTAAACATAAATCAAAACTTATGTAAATAATTCTTAAACATAAAGTAATATAAACAAAATAATAAATTAAATTTTGCAAGTTTAAACAGCTGAATAAATACTTAACAACCATATTTTACAAATATAAAATCTAAAATTTAAAAAATGCAAGTTTAAAAATTATGTTTTATATTCATGAACAGCTTGATTATAATATCCATGGTTTTAAACGTATTTAAGTTGAAATTAATATTCCTTATATTATAAAATATACATCTTTAATTAGAATTTGATATCTTTATTCATCTCTTTTTTGGTCTTCCTTTACCTCTTCTTCCTTCGACATTCATTTCTACAACTGTTCTTACGGCTTCCGATTCTTCTCTCCTCATAACATGACCAAACCATCTAAGTCTATTTTCTCTCAATTTATCCACGATTGACACTACATCTATACTCCTCCTTATATGTTCATCCCTCGATTTGTTTAATAAATTTAATTATTTTAAAAGAAAGATAGCATTGTAGGGTCGCGGCACAGTGTGAGTGTGATATACTTGGTACTAGTATAGATGATATCTGACAGTGATTAAAATCACTATTATAAGGCAACCTTCGATGCCGTATATGTATTAANATAGTATAGTATATCACATACTTGGTACTAGTATAGATGATATCTGACAGTGATTAAAATCACTATTATAAGGCAACCTTCGATGCCGTATATGTATTAATTATATACTAATTAATAGTTCTTAGATTTAAAAGCATAATTTATGAATAAATATTTATCATAGGAATTAAATATAGTATGAAATTAATATTTAATAATTACAATTTTTATGGAAATACAATAAAAAATGATAAAGTAGTATATTTTGTTACTTCTATGACAAACACGTATAAAAATTAAAAGGCTTGATGTAATACTTTATACATTTTTTTATATTATTTATGAATAAATACATTGATCTACAAAGAAATTTCATCAGAATTAAAAATGTACTTTTGTAAATCATCTTTTCGCACTGTTTTCAAATCTGAAATTAGACTATTTTTATCATTTCTAGTTTTTGATATTAATACTAATTATTAAAAATTGAGTATTTACACATAAAAATAATTAAAACAAAAGAAATTATTTTAAAATTAGTGCTGAATTTGATTTTTAATATATTAAAAATAATAAGTGCAAAATGTCATTTTTAACCTATTTTTTGGTCATAGACAGTTTTTAACGCAAAAATAGTATATTTTTAAATACAGTAGCCTATTTCACTACCATGAATACAAACTAAAGTTTGAATATTTTTTTTTACATTTTAAAGTATATTACATAAGCTTTAATTTAAGATATATATAAAAGTATCAGTACTTCCAGAACATTTTCAAAATTTAAGTTGAAATAATTATAATTTTCAATCCCTCACTATGGTCAGGTGAAGGGTCAGATTTTTAAAAAATATATACCAAATGATAGGTAAATACATAATATATCTATAAAAAAAAAGTTTCTATTCATCTATTTTTCAAAAAGTTCTGGAGGTTCTAAGTAAAAAAACTTTTAAAAATGTCGAAAATTAGCGATTATTAAATTTATAATTTTTTTGGAAATTTCCCTCATTTAAGGGGAACAAGGGAAATTATTTCAACTTTTGAGAATAATGTCTTCGATTAGATACGATTTGTAATCTTTTGACGTATTGTTGAAAGAAATAGGTTTGATGAGAGCTGAAAAAAAGTGGTAAAAGACACAAACGAATAAAAAAAAAACACATTATAGTAAAATTAATACCTTCTCAGTTTCATATCGAAGCTAAAAGGAGTAATTATTTTTTTTCAATATTCTTGAATTTTAGATTATTTTAATTTTTTAATAGGAATTTATATCATTATAAATATTTATACACATTAAAGTATACTACTAAGTGTTATTTTTTCCTATATAAAAAGAAGATCGAAATAAAATTACATTGCTATAAAACTTTGTTATTATTGATTGCGTCGTTTTATATATAAAAATAATACTTTAAATGGTAACAATTGTGCAAATTATAATCCAAAGAAACGATTTCCTTTTGAAATAGTGATCTATGAATGTTGTGTTCTTAAACTATATGAAAAGTTCAAAAAGCTCTTTGTATGATATGTATACAAAAAGATGTCTTCTATGAATGATACAATATTTCTCCTTAAAAATATAGATTTGCATAAGACATTGTTAAACCTATAATTTCTTATTAGATTAGTTAATTTCTAGTGATTTATCATAAAAAAAAAATTTAGGAACTTTTGTATGTCATCTATTATAATGTTATTGATAACAAACTGTGTATAAATTCTTCAATCTGTGCTATTTATATAAGTTAATTTTTGTATTATAACGTTTAGGCACTTATGGAATTGGTTAAAATACAAATTTAAAAGTTCTCTGGTATGTGGTTTGAATCTCATTGCAGCCATGTTCGTGATGTGTTTTACAAGATAGGGAAAATACTGTTATTTTCTTCAAGAACGAGTTATCATTGATCGAGTTATAGTACTATCACCAAT